TTTTTCTTTCCATCAATTTCAGCTTCAAATCCACATACTGCTGCGGCTTCATGAAGTGGGAATTTGTAAATGGCTTCTATCGCATCTTTTTCAACGTTTTTATATGTTTGACAAACCGTTGCTAGATCAGATGAGCAAAAGTATTAGTTATATTAAATATGATATGTTAAAACTATCATAATATTTAAAATATGTGAATGAATTTACTTTCTGCAATCATATCAACGACTAATTAAATTTAAAAAAGTACATTAGCAACATAAAAGAAAAAATATATTGCATGCAATAAATTGTATATTTGTAAAAAGAAACTTTACTGTTCGCCTCAACAGAAACATTTTGCAAAGGAACAGGATTTGGACGATTCTTAGCAATGAAAACGAGCCCGTATATTTGCATTCTTTTACAAGATAGAGGATTGTTTTAGAATTGTAAAAACGTTAAGAATGCACTCACGCAATTTTATATGAAATTTAAACCTACTGCGTATAATGATACGTATGTACGTACGTACAGTACACACACAATGTTGTGGCTTACCGGAGATCTATTATTACAGTATTATTGCTACGTATGAATTTTTATGGACATTTCAATGATAATCTGTAACTGTCACAAAATGTTGCGTATGAAAATAATGCAATTTCTATAACGATACCTAATTCAGTAATTCATACATTTAACGTTATAGAATTCATGAGTGCGTGAGAGTGAAAACCTGGAAGCTGATCTAATGATTTACTATGATCGGTTTCCAGGTTTTCACTTCACGCATTCATATCGATATCGACTGATCTGTATGGCCTAAATAAATATACGTAAAGCCAATGAGTCATAATTCCGGCCAAATTGTTGATCATTTGACCGGAATTATGACGACCGAAAATCATGTGACATTTTCAATTCATTATAGTTAGATTATGATAATAATATTTATTAAAATTGATTTAGTAATTTTTTTTCTTCGATTCTTTAAAGTAAAAGGCGATCGTTAAAAGCATAAAATCCAACAAACACCTATTCTAAAAATATATGTTTTTTTTTTTTTTTTTTTTAAGAGTAAGGCCTGGCCTCGGTCTTTATTGAACAATTTGGTATTACATTAATGAAAATGAGTTACAAA